CCTCCTCCCCGGCCATCCCGAGGGCGGCCGCAGCCGCTCGGGCCGCCTTCGCCTCAGGAGCCCCCTCCGAGCGACCGCAGCGGCATCGCCCTCCCCGCCAGGACGGGCGCGATGCTGCTCCTCTGCCCGGGGCTGGGCGCTGGCCCGCGGCGTTTATCTCCCAGTCGGAAACAGCTTAGTTAGCTGTTAAGCTGTTAGCTTAAGCTTTAAGTCTGCAAAGATCAATTAACATCCTCATTGATTGCGCCGGGGGTGACGGAGCAACTTCCTCAAATTAAAAGCTCGTTAATGGCTGGATGCGTTTCGGAGTGGTCTGGCTTTGCTACAGACTGGTGCCCCCTTTTCAAATGACATATGTTCAGTCCACATTCTCGCTTTAATTATTTTGCTCGATGCAAATGCAAACTCCTAGTCACCGTACTGCGGTACGTTTTCCTTAATTTCTGGATTTCAGTATATTCATACCCATGCGCTAGGAATGCTGAACACGTCTCAAAATATGGGGTTAAATATTGATTTTTTTCGTATTTTTACAACAACGTAAATCTTAAAATTAGACTGTGATGTCAATAAGCATACCAGAGCATATTTTTTTCACTGTTTAAAGCCAGTATGATTGCCTAGAGTAAAGCTTGATCCTTTAAAAACGTGTTGGCTGCAGTGGGGTATATTTTTCAGGCATTCACAACGTGTGCTCTGCTCCTCTCTTTCCCTAGATCACACAGCTGAAAATAGATCACAACCCTTTCGCAAAAGGATTCCGAGACAATTATGACACGTAAGTAAACCGGATTTTTACTACCCTTCTGCCGGCTGTACACACATGTCAAAGTGGGGAGATTTAGGATGAGGGCTGGCTCATTTCACACCGAGATGTGTAATGTCAGCCTTTTCCAGAGCCCTCCGGGAGGGAAGCACACGCCCGCTCCCGCACGGGGGCTGTCCCTGTGGCGAGGCCCTGCGCAGCCCCGGGGCCGCTTTCCGCCTCTGGGGCAGCGGTGCCCGCACCGAGTCCGCATCTCGCTTTGGCACTTGCTGCGGTTTTGTTGTTGGTTTTTCCCGGCACGTATCTTGGCGCCTCTTTCCAAGCTTCCGTTTCACTTGCGCGTAAGGGCTCCGCAAGAAGCACCCGGGCAACAGGGGCTCAGTCCTGGGCAACCCGCCGGGTCTGCATCATTCCGAGAGGCAGAGCCGGGATCCGGAGGGACACGTCTTCGTCTCGTTCTATTCTTCGCCGGGGTTGAATTTTTTTTCCCCCTTCTCCCTTCTGGGTGGAGCTAAAGCCTCTGAAGTTTTAATCGCGGTTTGTCCCTGTTGTGTCCCTGCCCGTCCTCCTCCGAGGCATTCCCAGCGCTCTGACCCCTCCGGCCTTGACGCCCGCGCCACAGG